AAAAAAAAAAAAAAAGAATATCGGTTTTATCAGGTCATGGTCTCAGGGTCGTGAGATCGAGCCCCGCATCGTCTCTGTGCTGGGCCTGGAGCCTGCATGGGATTCTGTCTCTCTCTCCCTCTGCCCCCCAACCCCACCCCAAGGGGAAAAAAAAGAATATGGGCTTTGGCAAGTCTCAGCGTCACCAGTCCACGCTGGGTGGACGTGGGCAAGTCACATCACCACTGGTAGCAGTAACGCGAGGAGATGCTGAGAAGATAAATCTAGCTGAGGCTTGTTTCATATATCACTTCCTGAGTGCTGTGTGCCCAGGCTGGGCTGGGGGCTCTGTGGGACGATCTCATTCAGCCTCATCAGGCCTGGATGGATGTGTCGGTAGCCCCTTCAGTGAAGGAGGCCACTGGGTCTGTGGCAGGTGGGGGCAGCACACCTTATCGGGGTTGATGTGCTCGATGAGGCGCTCCAGGGCCGGCATCCAGCTCGGTGCCAGGTGGCAATTCTGGAAGAAGACCCACTTGCCCCTCTCTATGGAGCTGCGCATCATGGCTTCTGCCCGAGGGCCCTGTGGGGGCGGGAGTGCTGAGCGGCGAGGTGCCAACCGGCCCAGCCTCCAGACCTCCGCCCCTGCCCACCCGGTCCTTACCTGGCCCTGGCCCAGGGAGATGGCAGAGAGCTTCTTGGAGAACTTCATTTCTTCGGCAAACTTGTAGAGGTCGGCAGCAGGGTCGGTGCCAGGTGACAGCACAAAGATGAGGGGCGTGGTGGAGCCAGAGTCTTTGAACACCACTGACAGGTCGGCTGCCTGCAGGTCAGGGAGAGATGCTGGGTCACCTGGGGCTGAGGGAGGGCAGGGACCAAGGCAAGGCAGGGGGTCCTGGGGCTTCCAGGGAGGCTTCCCAGTGGGGCCTGGAACCCCCCAGAGCCTTTGGAGGGTGTGGTTAGGAGTCCCAGCCTGACCAAGGCTGCAACATGGTCTGTCCAGGTGCAGCCAGGCCCCGGGACCCAGAGGTGGGGATTACTCCAGGACACCAGCTGATGGCACTTGCCTGGGGCTCAATGAAGCGTGGCTCCAGGTTGGTGGCCACGAAATCCTGCATGGCATTGGTAACCTTGTCCCCACGCAGGCAGCGGAGAACCAGCAGCTTCTGGAACTGGTCCAGGTACTTATCCCAGATGCCAGGCAAGGGCTCCCTGCGACAGTGCCCATGTCCCCCTGAGAGCTGACCTGTGGGAGGGCACTGGCCCCAGGGACTCTGCTGACTGGATGGCCAGGGAGAGTGGAGGGCCTGCAGGGTACATGGCCCGGGGCACAGAGGGATGGAGCCACAGCTGCAGGGCACCCCTGGGTGGCTCCTCAGAGAAACCTCCTGGGCGGGCCTGTCCCTGGGGTCTCACCCCTCCGTGTGCCCACCCTGCGACCCCCTGGGGCACAGCTCACCGGTGGGGCTCGAGGCTGTCGAAGATGGACTGGAATTCTGAGAGGTGCTTTGGGAAGTCTTCGGCAAAAGAGGAGAAGGTTGGCAGGTTTGAGAGTGCCAGGATATCTCGCCAGGCCCGGTCGGACAGCCAGTCAGGTGCCGGGTTCTCAGTCATGACCTGGATGGAGCCTCCGGACAGGAGGTAGCGCCACTCGCCCTGGCAGGGGACAGGGGGAGCCTAGTGCCCAGGCCCTGTGACCTGCCTCTGGCACCCCAGCCAGCAATGCCCCCCAACCACCACCCTCAGCCAGAGAAACAGAGTCCTCCCTGGGGCTGGCAGTCAGACCGGTCTGGGTCAGTGTCCCCGTTCCACATTTTCCTGGCTGTGTGTCCTTAGGCAGAGGATGTGACCTCTCTGAGCCGCAGTCTCCTCATTTTGGAAAGTAGGAAGAATGAGAATCTCAGCTGCTTCCCAAGGGTTTTGGGGGGTTAGGTAAGAATGTACCCGTTAGCCTGGCACCTACACACAGATAGGGCTCGAGCCGGAGTAGCCGTAATGCAGTAATGCTCGCTCTCTCCGCGGTGATTTCCAACACTCGGCAGATACCTGGGGCTCATGAGAGCACGAGCTGGGAGGCTCAGGACAGTCTCTGCTCACTTGGCTCCGAGAAGGCTGTGCTCACAGGACAGCGGGGACCACAGTGAACCCAGGGTCTCCTGGCTGTTTTAAGTAAGGAACTGCTTCCTGAGGCCTCTACCCCTTTGCTCTCGCTGTGCCCTCATGCCTGGCCCTCTCTTTCCTTTTACCCTGTTCTCCCAGGCCCTGCCACAGGGCACCTCATCAGGCCATCTGTCCTGGGTCACCGGCCCAGCCCGCTGGTTGCCTCTCTGCTCCCGTACCTGGTCGATCTTGTCCTCATTCATCATGATGCGGACACACAGCAGGAAGGCAAACATCAGCTTGTGCTTCTCAAAGAGGCTGCGGCAGACATTGCTGTAGAGGTCGTAGGTCAGGTGGCGGTTGATGTTGGCGATACGCTTCTTCAGGTTGTCTGCACGGCAGGGAGGGGACGGCAGTGCGTAGGGAGGGGTGAGGGGAGCGAGATCCCCGGGGCTCGGCCCAGGCCAGCCAGTCTGCCCCACAGCCACAGGGGCCATCTGGGCCTCCCTTTGGGGCCTATGGAGTTGCCAGTAAAGGGGCTCTGAGGAGGGTAGGGAGGGGGTGTGTTGTTACACCTGATCTGAGAGAATGTGCAAGTTTACATAAGCGTGCCCCCTGTGGATATGTGTCCCCCTGTGTCACATCTGTGCCAGGCTGGAAGCCCAGCATCTGTGTCCGTGTGCACGCATGCCCGGGCTACCTGCCCTCTCCGAGTTGGCGATGCCCGAGAGGAAGATGCTGAGAAACCACTCCAGGGAGTACTGGTACATGGGGTCCACGTTGGCCAGGTCAGACACACAGAAGAAAAGGATCTGGGTGCGGACGGCCACGGGAATGTACTCCATGCGCGTGAGGTCAATGTCCTTCTCCGTCTGCTCTGCGATCCTGACTTTGGCCTAGAGGTGCAGCACGGGAGAGGTGATCAGGCCCAGGTTGGCTGGTGGAGGGTGGCAGGCAACGTGGGTGGGGACAGGGGTCAGGCCTGGGGCTGGTCGGGGGTTGGGTAGAGGCAGGAGTCGCAGGCAGGGGCAGGCCATTGCTGACCTGGATCTCGGCAGCCTTCATCTTGGAAGCCTCCAGCACCTTGATGAGCTCCATGTCATCCACAGGGTTACCTTCGGAGGAACTGAGCCTGTACAGGATCTGGTCTTCGATGTCCTTCAGCTCCTGGCGCATCTTGGCATTACTGACAATCAGCTGGTTCTTAGCTTCCTCCAGGTCTGGCCGCTCCTCGGCCACTACCTGGCTCAGCAGCTGGTCCTCTAGGCCACTGCCAGGGGAACGGACAGCATGTCTGTAACACCTGGTAGGCTCCAGAGGGTCAGCCTTGAGCCTGCTCACCTATCTACCTGTGCCCCCAGGGCTCCGAGAGCTGGGAGGCCTAGCCTCTGTCTTGGGCTGCAGGGCTAATGCAGAGCCTGCCTGCAGAGTGACCAGTTCTCAGTGAGACCCCGGGTGGCAACCTGGAATCCCAGAAGGGGTCAGGTGGTTCGATATGTGAGTTGCTGGGGTCACTGAAAAACTTCCTCTCGGCAGGAGGGGGCTGGGTGATGGGCAGGGGATAGGCCTTTCACCACCTCGTCTGTGGAGAGGTTCATAGTGGCCACTGACATGAGGGCCTGAGTGTGGAGTGGGCCTGTGGGCTCTGTGCGGGTGGCCAGCAAAGTGTACCCATTAGCCTGGCACTTGTGCATGGCAGCAAGGCAGGAAACAGGGCCTGGGTGCAAGGTGTCAGGGTGTGCCTGACTCAGGGCTCCGGGACAGCTCTGGGGGTGAGTGCACAAGGGGCTGGCAAGGGCTGAGCTGTGGGGGAAGGATACCCGGCCAAGATGGGGCTATGCTGACCAGGGAGGCTGAGGGGTCCTGACCAATGATCAAGGGCTCTTGATCTTGGGGGTGGGGGTTCTTAGCTGGAAATGGTGGCAAGTAAGGGGAGCTGGTGGAGGTGCTAGAAAGACCTGGGACGCCAGAGCACCTTGGAAGAAGCTGCTGGAGACTCTGGGAAAGACCCACAGTGTCTTGGCCTGTGGGTGGGCGAGAGGCAGCCAGGCAGAGCTGATGCTCTGGGTCTGGGGCCTGGGGGCTTACCTGGGCGACAGGGTGAAGTTGATGAGGGTGAGTTTAGTGGAGATCTCAGGTGTGTAGTGTGGGTTGGGCAGCTTGGTGGTGATATACATCCTGAAGTCCTCATGGTAGGGGATCACCGTGTCCCCCAGCTTCAGCACTGTGTTCCCCTGCTGCTTGTATGTCTATGGTGGGTGGGATGGGCAAGCGCTGTGGCCCAGGCTTCACCGGGGAGGCAGTGAATGGGGCTGCCCTGTCCCCCGTCCAGCCTGACAGGCTGCCCCCACTCCCCTGCCGCTGCAGGCCCACCTGCTTGAGCAGCACAGGCTCCAGGGCCGGGTCCAGCTCCTCGCCCACATTCTCCAGAAGGCAGGGCTTGCCAAAGCGGATGGCATTTTCCATGCTGCGCAGGAAGTCTCGGTCACTCAGCTTGAACACATCCAGCCCACTGTCCTTCTCCTGTGGGCAGAGGGGGCGAGTGGGGGCTGCGGGAGCTGCCAGCCCGCCCGAGGCTCAGCTCCTGTCCCTGCACCTGCTAAGCCCGGCTGCGAGGGGTGGCGGCACCAGGCAGGTGGGCTCACCATGTTCTTGATCCATTTGTTGGCCTGGCCCTGAGGGTCAATGAAGTGGGTCCAGCGCTGGGAGAACTGGTTGATGACCCCGTTCTCCACTGACAGTGTGTCATTGGGGAGGCCAGCAATCTGTGGGGCATCAGGTGCCAGACTGGGTCAGGGTTGTCACACAAGCAGGGTCAGCTGGGGTGCTAGCTACTCCCAGCTTCATGCTTGGCTATCTCTTCCCTCTCCTTACGGCTCCCCCGTGGAGGTAGGCGCAGGTGACAGTGGGCACAGGTGTGAGCCCACAGGGCCCCCTACTCTCTCCTGCTCCTCGGCTGGATCCCGACACCCTCCTTCTCTGGCCTCTCTGCCCTCTTGCCTACTGAGTCCCCCCTCAGTCAGACCATCTCCCCAGAGCCCACAGGCCATCAGTATCCTGGCCTACGCTCTCCCTTGGCCTCTGCCAAAAGCCTCTGGGTTTTCTGCCCGAGCCAACTTTACCTGTCCTTTAGGGTCTAGCTCAAATCTGACTTTTTTGGGGAAAACTTTCTTAACCTCACCCTGGATGCTGCTCTCCTCCCCCAGCCCACTCTGACAAGCACCCCTTGAATTCTCTGCCCCAGTTAGCTAGATCTGTGCCACACCGTGTCAGCTCGCTCCTCTCCTACCCACAGCCTCTTGCTGGGCCCAGGAAAGTCAGGGGAGTCATCTCTGAGCAGGCCCCGGAAAGAGGGTGGGGGGGGAAGCAGGAGGCTCCTGGCTCAGCCCAGTCACTTCAGCCCTCCCCCTTCCCAGATAGGCACCTGCCACGAGCGGATCTTCACAGGGTTTCCCAGCGTCCCGATGAGTGTGGGCTCTGAAGTGTGCGGGACCTTGTGTCTTGTGAGCTGCTTGACCCAGTGGTCATAGAGCACTGTGCGGTACTGGCCCTGGGGAGACGCCAGACTCAGGGCCACCCCACCACAACACGTGGGATGCCCTCCCACCCCCCAGCCCCAGTCCCCCAGCACTCAGTAGTTGCACACAGAGGTAGAGCTCAGACGTGGAGTCAGACACTCGCACTCAGGTCCCACTTTGGGTGACTTCCTTGGCCTCCATAAACCTCAGCCCCTCCTCTGTGAAACAGGCGTGATGACAATAGGCCCGCCTGTCAAGGAGGCTGTGAGGACCGAGTGAGATGCACCCAGCAAGCATGCAAGTGCGAGCTCAGGTTTCCCACTAGAAGGCCAGGCCCGCCAGGGCGGGTTTTCTGGCTGTTTCCATGCCTAGAACAGCACCTGGTTCGGATGGGGCGGCTGAGAAGCTGAGTGAGTGCGTGGGGGAAGAGCCGCCCTGCAGGCTGCCCCTCGTGGAGGTGAGGCTGTCGCAGGGAGGGCTGGAAGGCTCCTCACCGTGAAGGGGCCCAGGTAGGCCACAAAGCCAGCGGCCACCAGCACATCACCAGAGATGTTGCCAAGCATATGCTCCAGGTTCTCCACGGTCTCCTGCCAGCGCACCTTCTCATCCGACAGCCCGTTGATGAGCTGCAGAGGCAGCCCCGGGGGGGTGGGCTGCGGTTGGCCAGGCCAGGGGCTGGGGAAGGGGTGCAGGACCTGCACCCCCGCCCCCCGCCAGACCCTCGCAGCCCACAGGCCCTCCCCGCGGGATGTGCTGACCTTGTCCGCCCGGCCCAGCCGCTGCTCGCACTGCTCGCACTTCAGCTCCAGCTCCTCCTTCTTGGCGATGCATTCCCGGTACTTGGTCTGCATCGTGGTGATGCCGTCCTCCACCTCACGCAGGCGCTGCTTGGCCTCCTCCAGGATCCTCTGTGTCACCTCCAGGTCGTCCTGGGCCTCCCGCAGGGCTTGCTGCAGGCACAGGGCCCAGGGCCAGCTGGTGGAGCGGCCCCGGGAGAGCCCTCCCCTTCCTCCCCTTCCTCCCCTGCACCCCCCCCCAGGCTGGACCCAGGCCTCACCCGCTTGGGCTCCACTGCCTTGGCCACGAAGTGGTACTTGTGCATGGCGCGTACCCACTGGCAGATGGAGGTGCAGGCCTTGGATACCTTGGCAATCGCAGCCGGCTGGAACTCCTCGTTGTCAATGTACGGCTGGATGGCTTTGATCACCGCCTCCCCGATGTTGTCCTGGGGAGGGGAACCAGGGGCATCAGGGGGCTGTTTCCAGCAAGGAAGCGGTGGTGGGGCCTGCTGAGGAACACCCTGCTCGGGCTCTGAGCCCCCTGCCCTGTGTAGGCTTCAATACAGGTATCTTCCTCAGGGAATAAACACAGTCCAGAAAGGATCCAGGATTTCAGATAATACGATTAGAGACTTCGTCCACAAGAAACCGTGCAGTCTCAAGGTCTGGTAATGTGCAGGTCCCATTAAAAACTCACTTAGCGGTAAGGGCTGCTCCTGACAGGTGTGGAGACCAGTGAGTGATTCTGATGCCCAACCAGGCTCAAGTTCAAGGGTATTAATCCTCACCCTGAGAGCTCATCACAACCCAGAGTTCCCGTCCCCCTGGTGAGAGTCCAACCGTGTAGTTCAGGATGAGCCCAGGAATCTGCATTGTTCATGAACTCCCAGAGCTCAGAGCCTGGGACCCGGGAGCCTGAGCACTGGCTGAGAGCACTCCTGATTTGGGCTGAATTAGGTGTGTGGGGCCTCTGCTTTCTAGACTGATGAAAGTGGAGGAGGAAGAATGGGGAAGTCTGTAGGGCGTCCTGCTACCTATGGGTCATTATCTCCACCCTCCCAGTGTGGCCTGGGGTGTCTGAGGCCCCACACTGCCTCATGGCGTGGGGGGGGGGGGCGGGGGCACAGGCAGTTGTCCCCTACCCAATTTCTGGGCTGAAAAAGGTCCCCTAAGAGTGTGGTGGGCTCCAGGCTGACCTAACCATGAAACAGCCCCCAAGAAAGAACATGGCCATGGATACTGAGAGCCCCAGATAGACAGCAGACGGAGAAACCCAGGGACAGACAGAAGAAGCAGAACCTCAGCTGAGGCTGCATAGACAGTGCAAGTCTAGGCCAAGGCCATGGGGATCCTAGGAAGGAAAGGGCACAAGAGGGGATCTCCAGGCCGCAGAGCTTTGGGGTGACCAGCCAGAGAGCTCCTCTGGGGCCAGGGTATAGTCCCAGTCAGCTGTGTGTGGCCACAGGGCTGCATGTGTTCAGGGGAAGGGAGACAGGACAGAGAGCCCTACACTGGGGGGGTGGGGGGACAGGCTCCTCTGCCTGCTTCCCTGCCTCACTCACGGGCCTGCTCGCTTTGTGCCCGGCACACTCACCTTGTCAAACTTGAAGAGGCCTTCGAGGAAGCGGCCAGGGTCCTGCAGCAGCCCCTTGCCCGGCTCCCAGTAGTCATCCACCTTGGAGCCAGGCCTCTCTCCAGGCACCTTCTTGGGCTTGATGCCCTTCATGATGCACATAGCCTCTATGACCAGCTTCACGCCTGGGGGTGGCCGCTGCATGGCCCGGACCTGCGGGTTGGGCCGAGAGTGGGGAAGGGGAGACCCATCACTACCTGGATACCCCTGGGCAGGGACAGCTGTCAGACAGGGTGGACCCCACCAACGCAGTTCCTACCACCACAAAGGGCATGCCTGGCTGTCCCCCGAGGTCTGCCTCGGCCTGTGGTTCCTTCTGCTCCCCCTCACCCAGGCCTGACCACGAGGTCCTAGATGCTCATTTCTCAGGACCCAAAGCCCTCCATGTGCCCGTCTGGGCCATGGGGGCTTGTGCAAGGAGGTAAGGGCAGACAGCTGGCTTCGAGCCCTAGTTCTACCCACACCTCTCAGCACGTGACCCCCAAGCGATGTGGAGAGAGAGGGCCTGGGGGCCAGAGGCACCAGGACAGATGTCAAGGGGGAACTTCGGGAGCTGCCTGGCCACCCACCTCAGTCACATCATTCTTGTTGAGGTTGCGCAGGCTGGCCAGGGCTGCGTCCAAGGCAGGCAGCGCCTCATCCAGATCCTTCTGGGCATCGTCAGCAATAGCTTGTGCCTTCCTGGCCTTCTCATTGGCCTTGGCCTCCTCTGCTTGCACCGAATTCCGGGTCTCCTGAGCAATGGTTGTGTCCACCTGGGGGCCAAAGAAAGGGAGGGCCCAGCTGCTGGCATGTCGGGGACAGGTGTGTCCCCCCCACTTTCTCCTTCCTGCATCTCAGTCTCCCCGGGGTCAAGGGAAATGAGAGCAGGAATGCCCCCTTCTCCAAGGGCCCTCTCGGAGCTCCGGGAATGTGAGAAGCCCATTCCAACTGCTCATGGTGGTCCCAGCGTGGGGCTCAGGGCTTTACATGCTTGAGCACAACTGCCCTCCAGGGAAGGACCCCCTAAGCCCTCAGGACATCTCCAGGCAACACAGAGAAAGGCGCTCCCCCACATCACGTTCTTTCCATCTGCTGGAAACATTTGCGATACACTGACTTTGCAGAGCAGGAGGTGACTACTTCTACCAGGAAGCTGTCCTGATGAACTTGCGAATCTGAGATGTCTGCTGTGCGCAGCCGGCCCGCGAACTCGGGGATCTCATGGAGACTCAGAGGGACACTTGGGCTTAATGCCCTTCATGATGCACATAGCCTCTATGATCAGCTTCACGCCTGGGGGTGGCCGCTGCGTGCGGCGGCCTGCCACTGTGTCCCTGCTGTGATTATCAGGGTTTGGGTTGCCTGTCTTGCTCTTCACCATATCCCCTGCCCCGGTGCAGGGCCTGGCAGAGAAGAGGTTCCAAGCAAACTCTTGTTGAATAAACAAAGGACTACTGACTGAGGAAAACAGGCACCGAGAAGCTAAGCAACCTGCAGAGGTCAGGCAGCCAGCGACCTCATGGTTGCATGGGGACCCCTAGCATCCTCAGACATGGTCAGACGTCAGGGAAGAGGGCCAGGGAGCACCCCCCACCTTGATCTGCTCCATGGTCAGCACAGTGTCCTTGGCAGCCTCTTCCAGCAGGGGGCGCATCATCTCCAGCTCCTCCTGCATCTTGGCCACGTCCTCGGAAGTACGCAGCAGCTGGTGGATGGGGGGCACAGAGAGGAAATCAGGTGTGACAGGGTACCAGAAAGAGAGCCGAGCGTGGAGGGGACTGGGGAGAGGGTCCTGCAGGGCTACCTGGCCCTCACTCATGAGTGAGAGGCTGTGGCCTGTTGCCCAGTGAGCCCTGGAGGAAGGGAGCAGTCCCCTGAAAATCTGTGGGGTGCCCTGCTTTGGTCTTGCCCTTGTTCATTTGGTAAGGGAGGAAGCTACCCATTTAAACACGGCAGGCTGCTGACTGAGAGGGTGGGCTGGGCCTCCCCAGGTCAGGGCTAAGCCAGAGTACGCAGAACCATGGGCTGCTAGCCATTGTCCACAAAGCCCCACCCTGGCCCACCTTGTCAAGACCACTCTTCATGCGGTTCTTGGCGGTTTTCAGCTCCTGTTTCTTCTGGCCAATTAGGATGGAGAAAATATTAAGTAGCTCTAGGTAGCTCTTGGGGGTCACGTAGTTGTGACGGGCCAGCTCGGCTAGGTACTCGACACACTTCTTGGCCACCGACTGGTGGATATATACGCAAACCTGGATCTGTGGGATGGGAGACCACTGATGCCAGCCTTGTAGAGCCCCCAGCAAAGACAGGGCTCAGGGGTGCCCTTGAAGCCATTGCAGCCTGGTCCCAAGGAGGGGGCCACATGTAGGAACCTCAATGCCTCCCACACTGTCTCCCATGATCCTCATAACCTCCAGGTCAAGATCACCTATTCTGCAGAAGAAAAACTTACAACCCAGAGAAGTCAAGGGGCTCGTTTAAGTTCACACATCTGTTAAGGGCAGAGCTGCCTCTGAACGTGGACCCGGGTGTCTCCCAGATCTTGGCCCTCTGCTCCCATCACAGCTCCCAAGACCTGCCTCTCTCTGAGAGTCCTAAGGGGGGACCCCCTCTCCCCTTGGAGGCTGGACCTGGGGGAACAGAGGGCCCAAGGCCTCAGCATAGCTGGAGAGGGAAACAGGCTCACTCTAGTTCTTGGCCCCCAGGTGACCATCACTCTCTCTCAGGTTGTACCAGGCAAATCTAGCCCCCACCCCCCACCCCCCGGCCATCTGTGGTCTTCAATCGTATATCACCATGACAACCTTGTGGCACTCCCATGACACAGATGAGGAAACAGGCTTAGAACAGGTCAAGTTGTCTGCCCCAATGCCCATCGGTGTTGGGCCTGGGACTCTCACCCAGGCCCCAGTGACTGTGAGCCCAAACCTGAACAGTTCCCCCTGACAGTTTCCTCCTCACCAAGACACCTACCAGTCCTCGAATTACTTCAGAGTTGGCTTCCAGGTCTGGGATCTCATTCAGGAACATGGTAGCCACAGACTCCAGGGCCTCTGCCGGCCATTCGTTAAACCAGTCAATGGTACAGCAGTTGACAAGGGAGGGGAACTGCCTCAAACGGGCTCGGAAGACCTCTCCGATGGGGCTAGGGGACCAGGAGGCCAAATGAGTCACTGACTTCCACCCCCAGGAGCCCAGGACCCTCCTCATGGCAGGCCCGGGGGCCGTCCCTGCATGGCCACAATGGCTGCCCGTACCTCATACACAGCACCACGTGGATATTGCTGCGCACACGCCCAGTGTAGGCGGCCATGAGGTTGGCCTTGGTGGGCTGCAGGCCCTGCTCCTGGATGTAGGGCCGCATGGTGTTGACAATCTGGTCCTGCTCATCTGAGCTATAGAGGTTGGGAATGTCGCCCGAGTTCAGGACATTGTTGATGTCCTCCAGGAAAGACTCATTCTTGATCTGGGGAGAGATGAGAGTACAAAAGCTAAGCTTTAATGATGGCCCCTGGGTGTTGTCTCCCTGGATCTTCATAGCAGCCCCATTTTACAGATCAAACCAGGCTCCGAGAAGCTCAGGGTCATATAGGTGACCTCGCACCTCACAGTCTAGGGCTTATAGCCAGGCCTGCCCTACAGCAGAGACTCTGATCATCACCACTGGGCTGTGGAAGGGCCCTGGGTCCTGGGTGGGAGATGTGGCACCTTACTCTCACTTTCCAGGCCTCCCCATGCCTCAGTTTCCTCACAGGAGGAAACCAGGCCACAGGCAGAAATAGGTCCTTGCCAGACTACATGAGGGGACCCTGGGGGTAGAGGCAGGGCTGGGAACAGAGGGGACCCTGCCCAGAGTGGGACACATTCCAGGGCTTGGCCCAATTTCAACCACCAGCCAGGTTTAAGTGCTGCTCTATTTGTTTTGAGACCCCAGAGCCACCACCTCCCTTCCCCTTAGAGACCTAGGGACAGGCTTCCCCCCCTAGGGAGCTCTAGAGGGAGCAGCCCCCAAAAGGGGCATCATGGGCACAGTGCTTCGGGCACGAGTCCTGAGGTGGGGAGCCCTTGGCCAGTGAGTGTGGTACCACTCGTGGTCAGCCATGGTGCCAGGGGCCTTCTTTACCCTTGGGGTACAGTAGTGACCTGTGCCTCCCTAGCTCTGACAGGCTGGGTTTGGCCCCAGGCACCTGGCCCACCCAACTGTGGGCCCCCCGCCCCGGGGCCCAGCCATCCCTCCAAACATCCACCCCAGCTGACAGTAACCTGGGCATGAAGGACTGACCACTTTCTAGGATGCCACACTGGGATGGCGTTGAGTCCAGCCCACCCTGGCCCCTGCCCCCTGCCTGTGGCAGTAGCACCTGAGTGTCGGAGAACAAGAAGGTGATGGGCAGGCTATGCAGGCCCGCCTTGAGCAAGATCTTCTTGACATCTTCACGCCACTCAGTCATGCCGTAGTTCTTGGATAGCTCGATCTGGAAGCACTCGTACTCGGCCCTGGAGACAGGAGTTTGGGTGGAGGTGTGCCAGAGCTTGAGGCCAAGTGCCAAGTGATGGGTGCCCACACCCCACCCCCGCCATCTGGAGTCTGGCTCCCCTCCTGGGCAGATCTGCAGATGCTCCAGGCCCTGAACCTGCTCTCTTACCACCAGACCTCTGCCTAAGCTACTCGCATGGCCCGGAAAGCCCTTTGCTTCCATCCTCCAGCTCTGATCCTGAGAGGAGGCCGTGGCCACCTCGTCTAGGAATTCCTCCTGGTCTGCAGCCACGCCTCCCTCCCCACAGCGCCACAGGGCACTGCTGCTGCCTCTCCTTGGAGCCTGGGTCCCCTGCCCAGTGCGTTCAGAAGCCCATGGCTGGGGGACCTAGCCCGGGGTGGCCCCAGCTCCCCTAGCTGTGCACGCCCGGGGCCCTCACATGTGTGAGGCCAGCCGCGTGAGGGAGCTGCGGCCGCTGCCCCCTACGCCCAGCAGGAGCGCGTTTCCTAGTGCCTGGCGCAGGGTGCGGCTAATCCGGCAGATGTGGCTCACGGCATCCATGAAGAGGACCAGCTTCAGCTTGGCTGTGTTGATCTGGTTGTAGTCCTCCATGTACTCCTCAATCACCTGCATCATCTGGGGCCAGGGAGATGGGGAGATCTGGGTCCTCTCTCTATCCCTGTGCACTAGGACCCTCAACAGAACACACCCCCTCCCACGGCCAGCCCTGCTCCTCTGTAGGGAGGGGTGTTGGGCCTGGCTTCAGAAGGGTATGGCCCCAGGCACCTGACCCACCCAACTGCCGGCGCCCCCGCCCGCGGTCCCAGCCATCCCTCCAAACATCCACCCCAACTGACAGTAACCTGGGCATGAAGGACTGACCACTTTCTAGGATGCCACACTGGGATGGCGTTGAGTCCAGCCCACCCTGGACCCTGCCCCTGCCTGTGGCAGTGGCACCTGAGTGTTGGGGAACGGGAAGCCAGACCTGTTCAGAAGCCAGACCTAAACGAGGCCAGACCTGTGGGATACTAGAGGCCTGGGGGGTGGGGTCAGAGCCCTGCCTGTTTCCTCTGGGCCTCACCAGGTACACTGAGCCGGGGCCCTCGTGAGAGCTCCTGGGACCGAGGACGGGATATACGTACTGGGAAAGCATCGGGAGGCCCACTCCAGCCATGCAGCTCCGAGGCCTCTGACGAGGTCTCTTGCATGCCTCCCTGGGGTCCTGACTCAGACCTGTGCCCCCAGGGGCCCTGCCACCCCTCTGTGGGTGAGATGATAGCCTTCCAACAGGCCAGCACGTCCATGTTTACAGAGCCTGTCCCAGATGAAGCACAGACTTGTCCCCAGAGGCGGGCCAAGCAGGGCCTGCTGCACCCTTCAGACAGGCGAGGAAACGGGACCTACAGAGGCAAGGGCTGGCCTTCCAAGTCAGAGTCCTGACCCTCCGGTCATAGCGCGCTGGTCTGTTCGCAGGGCTGCAGGGGGCCCGGGGCCTGGGGGGCAGAGCGACGGGGCCCCTCACCTTGTTCTCGTTGGTGATGAGCTCATAGGACTTGACGTCAGAGCCTGGCGACATGAAGTCCCCGTAGAGAATGGGCTGGAAGGGACAGACCTCGACGAAGGTCACCCCCCACTGCTCCATGCGGCTCTCCAGGAGCCTGTCGAACCAGCCTCGGTCCTCGTCGCTCACCAGGCGGTCGCGGAACACGCGGCAGCTCTCGTGGTACCATAGCCGCAGCAGCTGCACCTCGTCCTGCAGCCGCCCCCCGTCAGCGCCTGCCCCCTGGCCCCGGAGACCCCGTCCCACGCCACCCTGCCCGCGCCTCTCCGGCCCCGGCTCCACGCTGCCCAGGTACCTGCTGGGACCTGGCCGCTTTAGCTGGGCATCAGCTTCTCCCCTCTTAGGGCCCCACGGCTGCTCAAACCCTAAGCCTGGGAGGAATGCCTGGTTCTCCTTACACCTTCCCGACGCCCCGCCTCTAGCCACCCAGCAAGCCCCTCTGATTCGGCTCCCATCTCTGTGTCTGCTGCCACCTCTATCCCGGCTTTCCCGCCTCCCCCTGGGTGAGCGGGTGGCCCTCAGGAAGCCCCCAGGCCCTTCTCGCTACCTCTTCGGCTATAGCTTGGCAAGGCCAGGGCTGGCGTCTGTCCCGTTCACCAAGTCTCCCCGGCCCCAGGCTCTGCACACACCGACCCATCCAGCCCCCATTCCAAGGGCAAATCAGTCCCCACCCCCACCCCCCAGGGCTCCCACCACCTTCAGGACCCTGTGGCTCCCACAGCTGCCCAGCCCCATCAGCACCCTGACAGCCCACTCCCTGCTACAGTCCTGCTCCGTCCACCTGGGCTTCTGGTTCCTCACGTGCATCCCCCTCACTCTTCCTCCCCAGGCTTCTCCTACACAGGGCCTCCATCAGGAACCCTCTCTCTCTCTCCTTTGCCTTGCCCTGGATCCTTCTGTGTGATCCCCATCACTGCTGCCATCGTAGGCATGGATCTGAGCCGCAAGACAGGGCTCAGCTGTAGGAAAGCAGGGGGCTGGAGCACAGCCTGCCCCCGGCCCCACTCAGGGCCTGGCCAGATCAAGGCTGGGCAGTTTTGGAGTGGTAGCAAGCCCTAAAATCGAGGGGCTGGGGAGGACTGTGAGGGCACTGTGGGCTCTCCTCTGCTGGACATGGGGAAGGGAGCCTGCTGGATCCTCACCTCGACCTTAGCCGGGTTGGCCATGAGCATGCCCTGGAAGACCTTGGAGAGGTCCCTGAGGTTGAAGGTGTAGTGGGACTTGGCCGGGGTGGGCAGCAGCTGGGAGGTGATGGTGGAGTACACCATGATGGTGGCTTCCACGAGGGGGTCCGTGAAGTGGGTGATGGTGGGGGCCCCAGCTGTGGGAACAGGAGGGTGGGCCTGAGTCACACCGGCGGGGGCTCCCTCTATGGCCTCTTTGGATGCTACCAGCCGCCATTCTGCAGGGATCTGCAGCAGCGTGGACAGTGGAGTGCCATGCAGAGGCCTGCCGCAGGACAGCAGCGGTCGGGGAGCCAGGGTTGGGGACATGTGACATAGTGCTAGGCGAGGCCTGGTGAGGAGGGACGCTGGAGCAGAGAGCTGGACAAGGGAGGTGGGAGCAGGCCCGGAACTGGAGCCAGTGTGTTGAGGCCTGGGGTGCCAAGGACCAGTGAGGAGGGGGTGAGAGCAGAGAGGTGACAAGGCGGTCCCAGTGTTGGGACTTGGGCTCTTGCCTGCAGTTGAGCGAGGAGGAGTGTGATCCCAGTGAACGTGTGAATGGGTCCCTCGGGTGGGCATGGCTAGAGAGCTGGACGGGATGGTGGGTGGGGTGAGGGAATGGGGATAGGGGGTTGACCTGAGCTGAAAGGAGGGGCCACCCTCCAGTGACAGTGACAGCCCGGGAACATGAGGACTGCAAGAGCGGACCGTTGGTCGGGCCACAAGACTCCAGTGGTGACAAGGACACTCTCTGGGGAGTATTGAGGCACAAGGGAAAGGGGGAGGAGGGTGATGCCAGCCTGAAGAGAAAATGCTCTTGAGCTGTGCTGTCAGTGTGAGCAGAGGAATGGAGAGACAGCCAGGGAGGGTGGGAAGGGGTCCCGAGGGGCTGTTTTGTGTTTTGTTGTTAAGATGGGGGAAATCAATGACCGCCAGATCCGCCCTGCATGAGGCTGCCACACCAGAGATGCCTGCTCCTTGGATAGGGCCGGCCTCTTGGGAGCCTCTGCTTCTTTACACAGGGTGGGAGTTTGTTGGATTCCTTTATTCATTCATTCAACTCACATTTACCTCGCTTTTACTGTGGGTCGGACCTAGCCCAGGCAGTGAAGGACTGACTGCTATGTGAATGGTTGAATGAGCCTATGAAGGCATTTGCTCTAGCAGTAGCTCAAGGTCCCCACATGAGCCCAAGGATGGTTCTCTGTGGCCACGGGGACCCAGCCGTGGCCACACCCAACTGGAGCCCAGGGCTCACCCAGGCACCAGCGCCCCACCCCATCCAGGCCCTGTCCAGGCCAGCACTTACGCACGGGCTCCCGGTAACTTCTCTCTCCGAGGAGTCCATCTAGTGGGTTGAGGGAGAAACATGGGGCTCAGAGTTAGGTGGGTCCCTTGCTGCCCACCTTGGCCAGCTGGGCCAAGCTGGACAGCTCCCAGAGCAGCCACCTAGCACCCACCCCCCTTCTCAGAGCAATGTGGACCCCACCCCTAGCTGGGCCTGTAGGCAAGTTCTGGCCTATCACCACTGGCGACAGGGCAGGCCAGGCCAGAGGAGGGAAGGCCTGACTCCCATCACCCACCGCCTGGTGCAGTGCCAAGGGGAGTTCAAAGGTCAGAGTGTATGTTAGACAGGAGGTGGGCTGGTGGGGGAAAACTGCATCCTGATGCAGCGGAAGATCAGGACCACTCTGTCTATTCTATCTTGGTGGTTTTTCCTGATTTATAAAAGTAACATCCTTCCACCAGCTTTTCTGGGCAAATACTAACATACACGTGTGTACTTATGCAGGTGAATGCCTAATTGTACATATGTATAAATCATATATTCAGCAATCACCACGTGCCAGGCTTCATGCTAGATGCTACATGCAATGTCTTATTTAACCTCCATGACTTGGGTCTTATTTAACCTCATTGCCCATTATACAGATGGAGAAACTGAGGCTCAGGGAGGTTGATGAATTTGCCAAAGGTAACACAGCTGAGTAAAGGGTGAAGCCAGGGCTGAGGTCAGTGCCTCCATCACCCCACCCTTTCCAGCAGCTGCCCAGCTGTCCTAGGAGTGGCTTACCTGGCCTGGGCTTCTACCTTTGCCCAGGTCCTCCCCGACTTCCCGACTTCCACCCGGTGCTTACCCATCCAACTGCCCAGGATGGTGGAGAAGATGCGCTTCTTGCTGACCTCGTCCATCTCGGCAAAGGACAGGTAGTTGAAGTGGCGTGTCAGCCGTGGGGTGATGGCATTCCTGCCTCCACCCGGGGGACCCATGGCACAGACAAAGTTGATGTCCACCAGGTGCTTGAAGGCTCCTGGAGTGGAGGCAGGAAGTCAGGAGGGGGCCCTACCCAGGGCTGAATTATGACTTTTTGTGGGCCCTAGGCACTTGGCCTTCAAGGGCCTCCTCCTCTATAAAAAATATTGAAAATGCTAATTTATAACAGTATTGGAATAAAGACAAATATATTAATATTATATGATAAAAATGTTCTTTGACCCTTAAAAGTTCATTTTCCTGGTGATTTTAAAAGAAATCAAAACATTTCTTTGGACCCTCTAAAAGTACTGTGGGCAATAGGCCTTGTGCCTACCCTGCCTCATGGATGGGGCGACCTGCCCTGCCCAGCACACCCAGCCCGCACCCCGCTGGCCGGCACGCACCAATGACCTTGCGGTCATACCAGCCGCCATGGTCCATCCACTGGCGCAACAGCTCGATGGGTGGCTGGGCGCCATATGTCTCCAAGGCTGGCATATTCAGGTCATCGATGAAGAAGATGAAGTTGCGCCCCAGGGGCGGCCCAAACACACCCTTTCGCCTGTGGGGGAGGGGCTGCGTGAGCCCAGCACCCATTGGCACCAGGTCCTCTGGGAATCCAGGGGTGGCAGGATGGCAACTGTCTTCAGCTTCTTCTGAATTGTGAAACCTCTTGAGCAGCCCCTCGTCCCAGTCTGAACATCCTGGGACATCACGTTGGCTGCCCCGAGTCTGGGCTCCCTTCAAGTTGAGTCCTGCCTCCCAGGCAGATGTATATCGAGCTCCACCCAAGTACCCAGCCCAGGGCAAGCACCCATGGCGGGGCTTAGGAATTCCTGATGGATGAGGGCTCCAGAACAGTCTGCAAGAGCACCCAGGGCCCTCTAGGAAGTTATTGGCAAACCCAAGAGCACAATTTGGTGAGGAGCTGGGTAAACAGCTGGTTGAGCCAAGCTGGGAGGACACTGGGGTACAGAAAGGAAGGAGGTGCCTGCCTCTTGTCCAGCTTGCTGTCGATGAGGTCCTGGGTTTGGTTGGCTGACGTTCGGGCTGAGAAGGTGAGGAAGTGGCTGATGTACTCTAGCGGCAGGTTCTTGAGGAGCTTGTCGGAGATGGTGAGGGTCTTCCCCGTGCCTGTCGGCCCAATGCACAGCACCTGGGAGAACGGGGATCACGTGTTCAAGATTCTCACCAGGTCTGGCACACAGCAGGGGCTGCCCCCCTGTCAGTGTGGGAGGTCAGCCACCCCCTGACTTGGGTCTTGGTGTGGGTGAGGCAGGGCACGGCAGGGGCACTCACGGGCTTGTGGTTGATGAGTAGCATGTCCAGCAGGTAGGACATCTGCACTGTGTCCATAGTAGGCACGATGATGTTACAGTAGTTGGTATCTGGCATCATGGTGAATGGAGTCGAGGAGTCCATCCACTTCACCCAGGCCACCTGGAAGCACAGGCAGCTCTGGGCTGGGCCCAGAACCCCACCCCACCGCACCCCGCTCTGGCCAAGTGCACCAGGAGGACAAGGAGACGCACTGCTAGGCCATGGCAAGAGAGCCCAGGTGAGGGGCTGCTTGGGACTGAAACAGGAAGCCCTGTGCCCTCCTCTCTGCTCAGGGTGGGGAATCCCAGAACAAACCACTGGGAGTGGGGGGCTTCCTAGGGACTGCTAGGTCCCAGCATCAGGGAGGTGTTCTGGCAGTTGGACAGCCCAGAAGTCAAAGGCCTTTGCTACTTGGTTTCAGGCTATCCAAGGGTGTGGGGGCCAGAACCGTAAGGGTTGGCATCGCTGGGATATGGAGAGATCCCCCAGCCTGGTCTTCCCCAACCATCCCTACCTGTATGAATTCTTTCACCCACAGCCTTGACCCAGCTTGCAGACCTCCTTTCATGAGGGGGCTCGCTACGGTCAAACCACAGGTCACACTGGGGACGTTAGACTCAAAGGTGCCCTCTGAGACCCCAGCAGGACCATGCATAGTGGCCCTCTCTGCAGATGCCTCTCTGCCTCCTCCTCGTCCTGGGCTGGGGTCCTGATCCTGGAAGCACAGCAGGCTCCCGGAGCCCTCGCTGGCTGATAGGAGGGATGGGACACCATGGCAGGCCAGGAGGGCTTGCTGCCCCGCCCTAAGGGCACTCTGCCCCTAGGAAAATGGGACTTTTAAGTAGAACTGAGGCAGCCATCCCTGGGCTCAGCATCAACATGGAGGAGGCAATGCATATGGTTGGGAAGGGAGGAAAGCCAACATCTCCCAGTCCCATGTTCAAGTCCGGCTCTGCCACCCACTAGCTGGGCGTGGCTCTTCTGAGCCTCAATTTCCTTGTCTGAAAACTGGGCACAGTAATAACCACACTGTGGGTCTGTGAGGATCCATGAGGTAATGCAAAGACCCCCCACCTGAGACCTGTGGCCATCAGCATGGGCTCCTCTCAGTAGTCATTATTCATCGAGGACAGCCACCACCCAGTGGGCCCTTCCTGTCCTGTTGCCTTAGCACAGGCCTGCATTCACCTGCTTGCCCTCTTCATCTTCGTCCTCATCGTCATTGGTGCTGCTGATGCCTGCGTCCTCCAGCCTGTAATCGAACACCAGCCCCTCCTCCGGAAAGTGCATGGTCAGCTGCGAGGGACAGGAGGAAAACCAGGCTGTGAGGCCCAGGACTTTGTGTGGCTGCTTATCCCTGGGGGCCTGGGCTGAGTGCATGGCCCCAGAGCACCCAGCATTCAGCACACACATCTGGGACTTGGGAGCCCAGCCTGGGGGCTGCCACCTCTCACATTCTCTATCTTCATCTTGATCCTGAGCCAGTGGCTGAAGCTGATGCGGCTGGTACTGTCCCCTGTGGCGCCCACACTCCAGATCAGGGAGAAGATGAACCAGGGCTCAATCAACTCCGGGATGCGACTCAGCTTTTCAGCAGGTATCTTCCTGAGGCCCTGGGGACAGTGGGGACCACATCAGGCCCAGGCAAGAACAGTGGTGAGTAGCCCGAGGAAGCGGGGGAAGGGGGCATCCTTGGGTTCTGCTGCATGGGCTGGTGTCTCTGCAGCAGACAGGATGGGGTGACCCCATGACCCATGTGAGCCAATCTGAATCTCTCTTCCAGGAAGCTGGGCTTGAGGTTCAGGGCCCTCAGGTGCCCAGGCACAGAGAGCAGGGACAGGAAGGAGCAGGCACCCAGCCCCACTTGCTCAGAGCTGTACCTCTTTCGGCAGAAAGGGCTTGAAGAAGCAGTCTAGCAGCTTGAGGAGACTCAGGGTCAGGTTGCTGTTGGTTGAGGTGATCACCTCCCTTACCGAGTGCCGGACGAAAGTGATGGATCCCTACAGGCGATGAGCACCTGGCTCTTGTGGCTGGTGGCCATAGAGCGCTGCTGCCCCACCTGGGCCGGGCACGGTGGCCTCGCTTACCTCCAGGAAGCGGACAAAGAGGGCCTTGAACTGCTCCTCGTAGGGCTTGAATAAGTCAGGGAGCCTCCTTAACCAGCACTCGACAAAGGGCATGAGCCCCAGGATGCTGGGCTCCAGGTACACCATGCCACAGCGGGACACTGTGGCTGGGGAGGCCACTGCCAGGTCCTGCACCTCGAACATCATGGTCATCGCCTGGCACCAAGAGGAGCCATGTGAGTGGGCCGGCCGCCAGTTCCTAGGGCCGGGAAAAGGACTGCAGAGCCACAGGGAGGGGTTGCCCATCCTGCAACTGTGGGCAGGCTATGGACCAGAAGCAGTGGTGGGCTGGAGGGGCCTCAGGAACCCCTTGGTCTTCAGCTAACATAGCTCTCCTTGGGGCCAGGAGGAGAACAAAAGTCAGGAGATTCCCGACTGCTCTCTGGCCAGCCTAGGACCAGGGCATTTTGGGGGTCCCTGGAGCTATCTGATGAGAGCTGTATGCTATGCTGCAGAAGTTCCAGGTGTTCTCAGAAGGGCTCGAGATCAGCTCAGTGTAGCTGCCACGAACGGCTCTAATACCGGGTGACAGCCCTCCTTGTCTGAGAACTGCACCTCACACACCAGGCAGGTGGCCCTGGGGCCAGGTGTGTACTGCCAGTCTCCCAGACTCCTGGCACGTTGCTAAGATGTCTGACCCAGACTGGGCCCACATGGCTGCAAGTGGGCCTGGGAGGCACGAGGCAGAGTCAGCCGGAGAGCAGTGGGTGGTCGTCCCCGACCTGGGCCCAGCGCATCCCAGAATGTGGTCTACAGAAGGGCAGCCCTGGGCAGCTACCCCCAACATGGCCAAGGTGGGAGCTTGGGGATGGCCTGGGATGCAGCCGTGGCCCCGAGAAGGAGAGGGATGAGGCTGGCCAGCATACTGTGGTCCCCGGGGCCACTCAGCTGCAGAGGAGAGCTGGGAAGGCAGACAGGTAGACGGACCTCTGTGAGCTTGATGATCTCCCCAGAACTGAGGCACAGCTTCTTGTTGTCGTCCAGCACCGTGTTCATGTTCTCTATCCAGACAGCGTCCACCGGCCCGTCGAACATGTACCACTTCTTGTTGGTGTCGGAGGCGATGGCCCCCACCCGGATGAGGGAGGGGAAAATCCCGTCTGTCCTGCAGCCATCAGGGGGAGGGGGAGACAGGGCAGCACACAGCTGGCTCCCAGGGAAACCTGGCTGCTGGTCTGGCCCTGCTCTGCTGGGGTTTTTCTCTTTAATATCTTCATTCATTTAAAAACAATAATGGGCAAAATGGGACTTTTTGGTGTAACATGGTGTTATAAAAATGTGTGTTTATGTTCCTTCTCTGCCAAATCTCCACTAAAGTTATATTAAAGGAAGATAAAAGGTGACATACTGGGGAAAAGAAAGGAAATGGGGGAGGAGGCAACAGCAGAAATGGGGGTCCACACAGTTCTGGGAGACGGGAGGAGAAGGAGAAGGGGCAAATGACCTAGCAGAGAAAGCAAGGGATGGGTCATGAGATGCATCCAGGTCCTGCCACAGAACCCAGGAAGGCTCAGGCTTCAGAGGTACCAAGTGCCTGGGAAAGTGGTGGGTAGGGGGACATTTTTCTGGTCTGATCCCCAGGCCCCCCACCCACGCATGCAAGAGCCTGGAGTAGGCGTGGATGAGACCCTTCACTAGAAACGGGGAAGCAGGCCAGAGTCACATTTGGAAAGATGGGTGACTGCCCCTCTCCAGTGTCCACACCCCAGAACACTGGAGCCAAGCAGAAACCCCCCGCAGAAACTGGACACTTCCCCAGAGAAACAGAATGGCCCCAGAGAAAATCCTCCCACATGCTGATGTTTGGAGGGTCTCCACCTAGTTGCCCTTCTCCAGCTCAGCGAGCGCACTTTCCCTGATACGCACATGTCCTCCTGGGGGTGGAGGCCCTGAGAGGGACCACCAGCCCTCTGTGGTCATGACAGCAGGCAACATTTACTAAGAACTTGGTATGTGCCACGCTGTCCAGACATCTTCCTTATATCAAGCTCGTTTTCTCCTTACCATAATCATGGCGCCATTATTATTCCCACTTTGCAGATGACGGCACCAAGGCCCGGCGGGGAGGAAGGTCACTCAGCAAGGAAGTGTGGTGGTGAGTAGAGTCCCAGGCATTTGGGCTCCAGAGCCTGAGCTGCTGACCTCCCACTGGGCTAGGGGAGGGAGGCCCATGGCCCACAGCCCCCAGAGGTCTGGGCGCAAGCTGGTCCCTGGAGAGGGGCCGGGACCACTCACCACTCATGGGTGAGCAGGTCAAATTCTCCATACAGCTGGCCCATCGTGATGGACTTGGGGTTCAGCACATAGTAGTTGACGGCCTCATACACGCCGCCACTGATAGACGGCTGTCCTTTCAGCAAGGTCATGGCGGCTGCCAGGACTCTGTAACACTGGGGGTTCAGCCACCCAAGAGTGAGCCTCCTGGCTCTCCAGAGCACAGGGCTGGAGTGGGCTGCAGGCCACAGGGGGCAGGCAGGGTACTCTAGAGGCTACAGAGGTACAAATGGGGCCCAAGACCCCTGCCGAGGCCCCACCCACCCCTCGGGCCCCTGTCTGGGTAGTGAATTGCCTGGCTTGGGTCCACTTACGTTGCTCTTGCCAGAACCGGTGGGCCCGACGAGCATGAGGCCGTGCCGCACCACCGTGGTCTCGTAGAGCTGGATGCACTTGGTCAGGAAGCCTGGAGGGACATGGCAGTGGAGCTCGGGGGCAGAGCATGGGCTTGGGTCCTGCTCTGCCACTAGCTTGCTGGGCCACCTCAGGTGGGTCACCCTGAGCCTCGGTTTCCTCATCTAGGAAATGCAGCTGGCGATATACCTACCTCATAGGTGGGGGCAGGTGAAGCCCTCAGCGCAGGAACGGGCACAGAGTAGGCACACCGCGCGAACGGCAGCCATGATTGCCCCCGTGACTATTATTCCCTACCATGCGTCGGTCGGGTGTCCAACTGGCACGGACCTGCTCAGTGTCAGCTGTCACAGGCCCCAGAAGCAACTCCAGCCCCAAAGCCTCCCCCCGGCCTGCTGAAAGCACTACCCTGAGGAAATGGTGGCCAGTACACAGCAAAATCCCAGGGACAAAATCGGAGCGTCAGTCAAGAGCTGCGACTGACCAGGGACAGCTGCCCGCTGTAGGCAGAGGGCCAGACCCACACAGGTAGGGAATGAGCGTCTCACTTTGGCTCAAGAGCGGCTTGGGGAGCTGGCGGGGGGAGCTGTGGCCCTGCCTGTCTGGGAGGCCCTGCTAATGGGACAAGGTCCAATTATTCAGTGATAGCTAAGCTGACCCAAGGCCACGAGGGAGATTTTGAGGCTTCATCCGACAAGCCCACTGGGACCTGGCGGGCAGGAAGTGGCATCAGAGCTCCCTGTGGAATGAAGGACAGTGGAGGGCGTGGGGGGCAGACCTCGCATCGAGGAGCACACCAGGCCCCAGAGGAGGGCCCCGTGTAGCCAGGGTGGCCTCATGGCCAGGTGTGATTTCCGGGAGGAGCGTCCCCGCACTCCACAAAGGATTGGCAGGGAGGCTCTAGGAGGAGAGGAAAGGTCCCCTGGCCTAGGGATGGGGGGACCACATCTGGAGCTGCATGGGCTATGCAGTGGCTGCGTTGAGACCCCCGCCTTCTATCAGGAAAGAGGGTTGGGGTCAGAGGGAGCCTGAGGGTGGCATCCCCCAGAGTTCTTCCATCGGTGCGGTGGCCTTTGTAACAAGCTGATTCAAGAAAGGCTCAAACGTTCCTTAGCCCAACAACACCAGGGCTGTGTTCCACGGAGACTGTGAGCAAGTCCTAGATGAGAGCAATATGCTTTGCTCCAAAAGAGGACAGTATGGGCTGGGGTGTGGTGGGGCAGGAGGCGTGGGCAGGCCATAGCTCACCATTTCCCCCAGTGATGGCATCAAACCCCGTTGCTGCCCCAGGCAGGTAAGGATGGGGTAGAGGAGAGCCTCTACTGGGGAGGAGCAAGGCCCAAGAGGGGCCCACAAGGGGAGGGGGCTAAGCAGGGGGTCTCAGGGAGGTGACAGGATCTGCTTCCCTACTGTAAAATATTCAGCAAAAGATACATTAGTCTCTGCCCCCTGTACCTGATACAGAGCTCCTCAAACCATTGTAAGTAGGATGCTAGGAGAATCTTCTTTTCTGATACTTAGTCTTTGACCCTGGTTCTTGACACAGAGCTCCCAAGACCTTTGTTATTTCCTGAGTGCTAGGAATGTCTTTTGTTCTAATGAGGCACCTCTTGGTTTGGGCTACTGGGAGCAGGCTGGTCACCAGGAAGACCAAACCATGGTTAGACGCTTAGAACTTTTGGGCTCACTCCCCCATTCTCCAGAGAGGGGAGAGGGGCTGGAAGTGGATAATAATTGATAATAATAATCTATCATGCCTGCATGATGAAGGCTCCATAAAAAGCCCCAGAGCATGGGGTTTAGAGAGCTTCCTGGTGGGTGAACACATCCATGTGCTGGGAGGGTGGTTCACCCCAAACTCCAAGGGGGTAGACCTCAGCCTATGTATCTCTTCATCTGGCTGTTCATCTGTATCCTTTCTCATATCCTTTATTATATAATAAGTAGTAAACGTGTTTCTCTGAGTTCTGCGAGCTGTTCTAGCCAACGATCAAACCTAAAGAGGGGGTCGTGGGAACCTCTGGTTTGTAGCCAAGCTGCCGAAAAGTTGTGGGTAACCTGGGGACCCACTACTTGTGACTACTTGTGACTTGTGACTCTGCTTAGTGTCAGAACTGAGCCGAATTGCGGGACAGCCAGTGGAAAACTGGTGTCGGAGAATCGGTTGGTGTGGGAAAACGCCCACGTCTGGGGACAGAGGCATGAGTGGGAGAGAGGGCTTTCTTCTACACATCTGTCACCTGCCCTACCCTGGGGACTGCCTGGCGAGAGCCCCAGCCTGCCACACGCTTGGCCAGGTGTGAGTGACCCTGAGGCAGCACTGCCCCGACTCTGCGCCCCTGCGCTGGATCCCGGGGCAGCCACTCCAGGACTGCGAGGGCAGGGGCCGGCGGCTCACCGTCTACATCCTTAAGGTTGCTGTTCTCACAGGCCTTGCGAATGGCCTTGTCCAGGATGCCGTAGTCAGTCTCCTCCTCCTTGATGGTGGGGAACAGATCCGATACGATCCCAGAGAAGAGCTTGAGGTCCTCCTGCAGGAACTTGGGCACATTCACATCTCGGATGGCCCGGAGGCATATCAGTTCCTGCAGCAGAGGCCGGTGGAGCCTTCAGGGGACCCGGGTCAGACATGCCTTCAGCCCCTCTGGCGCCCTCCTGTAGTCCCGCTCCCCGGGCTCCTCTAGATGGAGCTCACCTCATCCATACTGGGGTTTTCTCGCTTGAGGTTCCCGGCAGCCGAGATCACGGTCTTCACAGCTCTCATCCCGAAGTCATAATGATCCTGTCACCACAGCACAGGAGGGGCAGGTGGGCCCTGTGCCTTAGGGGGCCACTGCCTGGAACGCTCTGCCTCCCCGCCTGGTACCTGGCCCTCACCCAGCTGGAAGCTGCAAGGTCACACCCCCTGCAGGCTCCAGCCTGAGCCAGGTGCCCTCAACTGTATGCCTCTGGCACCTTCTCCTTACCATCTCAATGGTCCTCTCCCTTCCCAGGCCTACCTAGTCCGCATCCCCTGCTTGACTCTTGGCCCCTGAGGGTGAGGACTCTGTGCGGGTCCGACCCTGGCAGAGTCCTGCGGTCTCAGCACTGTATCAGGGGCAGGGACATACTCAGGTTTGTTCAAAACATGAAAGAAGGGGTTCCCATCTGAGCGAAGGCAGGGTTGGCCCGGAGGGCCTTTGAGCTTCCTTCTAACATTGTCTCAACGTCTCTCCAGACCCACCCTTTCGGCCATACCACTGTGGCTTTTCCCTTCTTTGCTGCTTGTTCTGTTTCTCTCCATTATATAGTAGGTGTATTGGAAATGGTTAAATTTTTTTCATTTTCCCCCATGGGGCCAGACCATGAGAGCTACATCTGGACCTGACCCACAAACCAGCACACTTCCCAGAAGTCTTGGACTTGGAGCAGGATGAAGTGACTGGGCTAGACTTGCCGCTTAAGGTTCTGCATTTCCAGGGCGCCTGGGTGGCTCAGTTGGTTAAGCGACTGCCTTCGGCTCAGGTCATGATCCTGGAGTCCCTGGATCGAGTCCCGCATCGGGCT